AATTGGTTCGATTATAGAACGATTGTAAACGTTCCAGAAAATTGATCAAATTGAAAATAGTTCGGCAAATACAAATCAGGTGTGTTTATTTATTAATATAAATAGCTAATATTGCTGAGAAGATAGATAGATATCAATATAAAATAGTTCGTTTAACTGGACGTAAAAATTCTCTAATTAGTCTGGAAACGGGGGACCTAATTCTTGCATTCTGTGAAAACGGGTAAGATTAGCTATAATGTAATTATCTTAATCTTCACTATCGTTACTTTTTGCCCAGCGAAGCGAGACCTTGCAGCTAGTTCTTAATATAATGTTTTACTGTATCGCCCGGAAAATTGTTTTTCGCCCCCAAAAATATAAATTGTTACTAATCGCCCCCTCAACAAAGAAAAACGCCCACATGGGGGTGATATCGCCCCCGTTGAGAAACACTGCCCTATGGGAACAGTTCATATCAAGGACAATTTGGTCTAAAGGTAAATTGTTTAATACTATTACGTTTGTTTAATTATTCTGGTTTTGCTTTGTTTTAAAAAAAAACAAAGATGTCAGAATGAAAAAATCTGCTAAGACAATAAGACGAGCCATTGAAGCGAAAACAAACCGAAAAGAGTAAAGTAGTTGTGAGGCTGATTTTGTGCTAGAATTTGAAAAACAGTTACTGGAAAAAGAAAACTAATTAAGGCATTAGTAAAATTGGTAAGCAAAACCCGAGGGAACGATAGCTTCTAAGTATTGATACTTGCTCCAACAGGTGCTGCAGCCATCCAAGTAAATGGGGGAAACAATTCAGTTTTCTAAGAATTCCAAATCCTTGTTTTAAAGAACTAGTAGGTACAGACCTGGAAAGTCAGGAAATAAGATTTTTAGCAGGGAAAATCAGGGAATCTGCAAATACCGCGGAATCAGTCTGTCGCTGTCGCTCCTTTTTGATCTGAATACGTCTTTAAACTGTGTTCGGTATACGAAAACTGGGCTACCAAATGAATGGCAAGATTTGTCGCGCTTATCTCTCTTAAACTATAAATGATAATGTAACGATTAAAATGTTGTTGGATAGAGGTTTATGTTCGTGTTTAAAATGATGGGTAGTGGGGTGTGCAGTTGTCAGGGTGGTTTGTGGTTACGCGTTAACATTGAAAACGGCGAGGCCTCACGGCTTTTGGGCAGTGCTTTTGGGCTTTTGGGCAGTGGATCGCGAAGAGATAGGACGTTGAAATTGATGTCGATCTGTACGGAATGACAGGATCTACAATATTATTTAGCAGTAATAGCGATAAAATAGAATTTTTAAAGTTATAAGCCGATAAGCGTGCGAGTCGAAGGAAATGTGAACAGAAATGCAGGGCAGATATATTTTGGAAAGAAAAATTTAAAAGGAATAAGAAAAGCCCAAAACGACTAATGCCGAACGATGCAGATTGAATAGAGAGTTGAAGAAACCCGAGCGTCGCCCAAACGATAGATATTGACTTGGAATGTGATAACCAGCAAGACTATTCGTTTACATCTTATCTTTGCTCTAATAACACAAAGACGGTTTGATACCTTAAGCGATTGTGTCCCCGTACACAATTCACCGAATTCTTTTTGTTGCGCGACATCTGGTTAATTAAGGTCGGGTTTTTAAAAACTTCATCGACCCGACTCGCTTTCCCGCCAGAACGCCGCTGCTCTGAAGATTCCGGGAGGGATGGGAAGAAACATAATGACCTTGAATGGATAACTGATGTGTAAACCTGGACCAAAAATAGGACGCGGTAAGCGATTTCACCCTCTCACGGAGTGCGCGATTTATTCTGTTTAAATTATTTTGAATTTCCGGCCTCTTTGATTTAAGAAAATTCGATTTTACGACGCGACGCGAGTCTTTTTCTTATTTAAATAAAATTTACGAATTAATTTAAGTAAAATCATGACATTTTTTCAATGACATCGCGTAAAATCAGTTACGTAATTAGCTAAGTTTTTCGTTTTCTGTAAGAAGTGAATAAAATGTTTTTTAATTAAAACAATTATACAATTGTGTGCAAAATGGGTTTAAATAGACTTGGCCGAATATTACATAACGGAAAGGGGAAATTACTAGGTCAGGGAATAATGCCATAATTGGTCATGGCATCACAAATTACCTGTACGGATCCTGGAACTTTTGGGCTGTATTAAGTAATATTCAGTACCTGACTTTCGATGAATATTCTATGATCGGCTATTATTATTAATATTATTATAAAATTGAACAGTTAATTTAATTGTGTTTCGTAGGTGTTGTCGCTTGCTCTTGCTTGCAATTAATAACCGGGTGTTAAAAATGGAGCGTGACTTCAAACTCTAACTTATCCGTCTTGGTGGGAGAATTGGTAACGATTTTTCTATATTCGGTAAGTATATTTTTATGATTTCCAATAATAAAATTTTAGATTAATTTATTGTAGATAAAAATTTGGTAGTTTAAAGCGTTTCCTTTTCGTAAGATTAATTGAAAATTGTTTATTCAATTGTATTCATTTTAAAGCTTTATAATTATTTTATTTTAAATGTAAGCAAGTATTTTTAAGCGCCTAAGACAGTAATGCGATTAAATGTAATGATGCGATGCGGTGAAGTGAAGGATAGGGGAAAAACCCCCGGTAAATTTAGTTCGCGATTCTTTTTATCGTTAGTATGACAGTATATTGCAAAATTTATAAACTTTACAATAAAATATGAAATTTTTATAGTATATAATGTTTTATATTTTCTTTTTCTTACATTTAAATAACTTTTTTAGATACTACAAAACAGGATGCAAGAATCTGTAACCGAAATGTGAAATTACTGCATTTAATGGAAATGTTCGATGTCAATTTGATTTCATTCTTGAAAAAAGATATCCCGGAAGGAAATAAAAAACAAAAAGGTAATTTAAAATTTTTACTTTGAAATTGTCACTTCACCATTTTTCTTCTGATTGACATAATATATTTAACCGTAAAAAATGAAATTTAAATTTTTTTTATTATTAACGAGCAATTACTTATTGTGACATAGTCACAATGCCGGGCTACAATTTTTAATTAATTTAATTTAAAATATATGCTCTTTACCTAAAATTAGCATTGCAGTGACTTGCCCCTGTACATCATACTTTTCCTGGTAGCAACGGAGTCATGCTGGTCATCTAACTTTTTTTTCGGGGGGGAGTTTTTGAATTGAAATAACTTGACTTTCGGTTTGCATCGGAAGTTTTTATATAGTTAATCGGGGCCTCCTGTCCGTAAGTTTTTATATCTTATTTTGAATTTCATCGATGTAGCTCTGTTTTTGAGATTAAGGAAAGACAGATGGATGACAGTGGGAATTTATAGGTCTACAATTTTTTCAAATTGCAGTCCAGAAATATTTAATTCTCTCATTAAATTGTAAATATTTAAAAATTATCGGATACATTTTACAGCGTTTTCTTATCCAGTAAATATATATGTATAAATTAGGAAGAAAATTTTTAAGTTAAAAAAAAAAATTTTTTAAATACCTAATTAAAATCTAATAAAATATATCTAATTAAACACTAGATGCTAATAATTATAAAAATTAAAAACTGATAGTTTAGTTTTTAACAAGATTTTATGAAATGGCAAATTCAATTTGCTTCTGAAATTTTTGATGGTTAACTTTAACTTTGTCTTATCAGTTATCACACAAAGTAACTAAAAGGCGGTGTGAAAATTTTGAAAATCCCCTCTTTTATTACTTTGAGATTATTTCGAGATTTTGTTAACTTTTGACTTCTCAAAAATTGAATAAAATAAAATATTTTTATAATGTGTTGAAATTATACAGAGGCGACATCTATTGATGTATGTGAGGGTGGCAACATTTTGTTAATGTCTTAGGGGGGATGAAGGCAGAGGAGGACTCATAGCATTAATAAATTGAATTTTTCATAATTCTTGCAGTAAAATAAAACTGTAGTGAGTAAATTGGTGATCTGTGATAGTTATTTGAAGTGCTCTAAGCTAGATAATAGGGAGCGGTCAATAAGTAGTGTTAGGACTAGAAGTAAGACTAGTCGTAATCCCAAGGGGAGTGAAGGTGAAAGTAGTAGCGATATGTCCGCTGCTGCGGGATCCGGATCTGGGAGGGAAGGTAGGCCTAGTAAACGGGCCTGCCGCCGTAGACGTAAGAATAGGAAGGCCAGGGATGGCAAGTCCTCCGACCCAAGTACGGAGGAATACTAACCCCCTAATCCAAACATGTCTTTCAAAATACGTTTAGCATCCCTTAATTGTAATGGACTTCGGTCCATCCCCCGCCAGCTTTTTGTTGCTTCCCTATTGACCTCCCTTCAGCTAGATATTCTGGCTTTGCAGGAAACATATTTTGAGAACATGCGAAGAGTTAGGAATTTTAGGCCTAAAATTAGGGGCTATAATAGTTATTATAGCTTCTCCAGGGGTAGGAGCGGAGGAGTTGCACTCCTCGTCTCCTCCAGTATTACGATCCAACAGTTCCTCACTGATAGTGACGGAAGGATAGTTTGTTTAGACATTGTTAAAAATAAAAAAACTGCTAGGGTTGTTTGTATTTATGGCCCTACGAGGCCTAGATTACGTTCGGACTTTTTCCAAATTCCTGGTAGCTATCTTGCTACCAATAGAGACATATTTGTCATTGGTGATTGGAACGTGATCCTCCGTCCCGAAGACAAGGAAGGAGGTAGCTGGTCCCCTGATAGTACTAGAAATAAGCTTGAAGACCTCTTGAGTAACTTTTCCCTTAAAGATGTGCAGCTTGCTATTTTGTCCGGCAACACTATCTTTACGTGGTCCAATGCCAACGGCTCTATAAAATCGAGGTTGGATAGGATGTACTCTAACATCCCATCTTCTGCTTCCGACTTTTCTGTCATACCTCTCCATTTCCAGGGCAATCGGTTCTTGGACCATTCGCTGGTAATGGCTACACTCAATCTATCCTGTTCTTCAAAACGTAACCGTTTTCTCCTCACCCCTGAAATCCTTAGGGACGAGGAATTTCTGTCCTCTACGGACAAGCTACTAACAAATACACTATCACTTTCCACTGTCAGCCTTGAGGACTGGTGTCGGTGTAAGAAGGAGATTCTCCAGCTTGCCCGCTCAACCGATAGGCGCCTTCGCCGCAGGAGACACTGTCGTCTGAGGCTTCTTCAACGCTTCTTATCTGACTGTCACTGCTGCAATGATAAATCTGGGTATACTGAAGGCCTCATCAGCCAGCATTTCTGCCCTTTTGACAAGTAGATTCGAACACGCCTATGAAGGGTATAAGGTCTCTCGCCTGAACACCCCGAGGCGTTTCGACTCGAAGTTTTTCGGTCGTTATTGCAATGACAAATCCAAAACTAACGTTCCTTCCATCTTAAAGCACGATAGCACCTTAACGACAGATGACCAAGAGATTACCCAGGTTTTCTTTCGGCATTTTTCCCAGTTCTTCGCTCCCACTCGTGTCGACTCATCCCAATGGGAAGACATGACAAGAGCAATTCCTACAGCTACTCTTCACCCTTTCCCGCATCTGTTTTCACAGGATTCAGTGAAATCCGCTATTTCTGCAATGCATGCAGGCAGATCTCCTGGACCTGACAACTTGCCAGCTGAGTTCTATAGAGTTTTTTCCGATAAATTGTCCTCCCTTCTCCCGATGGTTTATAACTCTCTGTCTCCCAACGACCCTAGTATTTCAAAATTCAACTTGGGTCAGCTCTCCGTACTACCCAAGTCTGACAACTGCACTACTGTCCATGACTTTCGGCCTTTAACGCTTACCAACGTAGACTATAAGATCTACGCGCGTGTTATTTATAACAAAATGGGTTTTGCCCTTACCCCTAGTATCATTTGCACTCAAACAGGAGGTATTCCTAATCGTTGTATTATAGATAATCTAAGCTTCATTAGGTTACTTAGTGCGTACTGCTCAAACAGGAAATGGCCACTTGCTTTGCTATCGATTGACCAATCGAAAGCATTTGACCGTGTTGATCACGGTTTCCTTTGGCATGTTATCAAAAAGTATGGTTTACCTGACGAGGTACTTTCGGCCATCAAAATTATGTATAGTAAGGCTCATTGCCGCATTAGTATCAATGGCCATCTCTCTGACCCCTTCCCGCTCGGAAAGGGTGTTAGACAGGGATGTCCTCTTTCTATGTTTCTTTTCTCCCTGAGTATCAACACCCTCTTGGGCGAGATACAAAGGGACTTTAGTATCTCTGGCTACCCTATGCCTGGGTACTACAAAGTGGACTATTATAAGTTTGTAGCCCATGCGGATGATGTCACATTCTTTGTGAAAGACAATTGGGCTATCTCCAGAATTTTTGGCCACTTTGACAAATATTGTCAGGCCTCTGGAGCTGTCATCAACAAGGGGAAATCTTCTTTTCTGCCCCTTTTTGGTTCCATCTCTCTCCCAGTGCCCTTCTCTGACATCCCTGTGAGCAATAGGGTTAAGATTTTAGGTTTGTACTTTGGCGCCGACTCGGCCAAACATAACCTAAAGGAGATTAAGGTTAAAATTGGGGACAAAATCTCTATTTGGTCGGGAAGCTATCTCTACTTTCCAAGTAGGATAGCTGTCTACAAAAACATTATGTTTGGTATTTGTGTGTACTATGCCTCTGTTTTCGGCCTGGACGCAGGCTTCAGGCATATTAATAGACTCCTTTTCCGTTTTGTTTGGGGCAACAAGCCCGAATGGGTTAATAGGAATATTATGTATAATACTAGAGCAAATGGTGGATGGGCTATGTTTGAGCCCTCCCTCTTCTCTGCTGCTGCCCAAATTAGGCAGCTTGTCCTTGCCCTTAACGCCCGCGATCACCCGGTTAGTAAGCTGTACAGCTTCTTTCTAGGGTATCGCCTTAATTTGCTTTTACCTGATTACAAGGTAAACCTTATGCCCAAAGTGTTGGATCCACCACCCTTTGTGAAAGTATGGTGCACGCACCTACTCAGTCTCTCCCAATCTGGGAATATTCCTTCTGTTAAAACTAAGGCTAGCGAAATTTATCGCCACCTTAGGCCCGATACCTTGCTATCCCTCTGTCCGCTAAACACTCAGGCCACTATCGATTGGGCCACTGTTTGGCACAGATGTTTTGATGGGCTTATTCCCGAACACTGCGTTGAACTCCAGTGGAGGTTGTTGCATAATGCACTCTCCACCAAAGTCAAGCTCCGGTCTATCGGAGTTCATGTGATGAGTGAAAACTGTCCAATGTGCAACTATTCGCCAGAATCGGCTGCACACCTTTTTTATTTCTGTAGGGTTGCAAGGAAGATCTGGGGTTGGATTACACCCCTCCTTGGTCTGCCCTTTCTGTCACGCGAAAACGTAATTCTTCATATTCTCCTCAATAAAGGAACTGTATCTCCCTACTTGATTAGTCTCCTTATTCATATGGCTAAACACGAGATATGGTTGGCCAGGTGTAGGAGGGTTTTCGAGCACAAATACACCACCCACCGCCTCTTTCGTATTAAAATCCGGGATGCTTTAGCTCGGAAGCTCCTCTCGGACTTTCAGTCTCTCACACGGGCAAACTTTAAAACTCTATGGGATACCCCCAACCAGACCCTCTGGATCTGGAAGGATGGTAAACCAATCCTCAATGACTTTCTCTCATAAGTGCACAGTATTATATAAGATAGCATAGTCTAGCTTTAAGCTCTCTAGTTTAGACTTGTATGGGGAGTGGACTCCGACCTCTCGTAGTGTTGGACCTTCGCTTCCCTCTCGACCTATCTATTTCCTGTGTCTTCTCCTATACAGGCTCAGACGTTTTCTCTATTCTTTGGCGACTTCCGCCCCGTTCCTCGCTATCCAATGATTCCCCTGTCACCTGTTCAGTGGGATAGGATACTGTTTACTTCAGTCTTGTGGCCATTGACTCCCTTGCCGTACCGGCTTGTGAGATGAGGCAATATACACTGTTATACTTCTGTTAGTTTCTTCTATCCTCGCAGCACAGAGAACGGCCTTAGACACTAAGGTGGGGGCTCTGTGAAGCGAGGAGGTACTGTATTCAATGATTAGTTAGTTATTGCGGACGCGGATGGCTGCCTTTAGTCATTCCGCATGGGATTTTCTCTCACCGTATAAACTTTATGAGAATCAGTACCATGTTATTAAATGTATTTAATTTGTACCATGTTATCTCACCAATCCGGATCATAATGCCCCTCTGTACATACTTGTAAATATAATTTGTATCCTTTCCGGGCACTAGATCTGTAATAAATCTGAATATGACATTTATGTAATATCAAACTGTATACAAGCATGATCAATGTGTTATACGCTCAATTGTATCTCTTATATGGTAATAATAAACTTTAATTAAAAGTAAAAGTATCTGTTCTTATCAGCTTAATATCTGATACGGCTTCCATCGGAGGCCATGATATTAAACTGATTTTTGGAAGGCGGCGGAGTGCTCGGAGCTTGCTCCACCTCTGCCACGGGTTGACCCGGTATTGCAGTACCTCCGGGAATGGCCCACTCCCCTTTGGGGATCTTAATTTAATCAAAAATAGATCTGTTAAAACTTTACATGTTCAAATTATCCACTACCAATGATACTGTCTTCTCTAAAGTCTGTAATTTTGTCTTCCAGCATCATTTCTTAATTGTCATTCAACAACTGTGAAAGAAGTGCATTTTGAATATTGATTGGGTAAATTGATATGTTTAATAACATTTATTATTATATTTTATATTATATATTGTTAATACATTACTTGAAAAAGGATATTTTAAAATTTTCATCATTTATTGGATTTTAAGTTTGATACCTTTTACAGTATACATTAAATATAGTAATTTTGTCTTCTTTGTATCATGACAATTAAATATATATAATACAGAGATTAGAGACTTAATTTAAAATCTGTTGTATACTAAAAATAACTATTGGAAGCAATATTAAAAACAGTTAAATTTTAATATTGTTTTTGATTTAACTGAAACATCTAAAACTAATACATTTTGTCACATTAAGAGGTTACACTAAAAAATCTTAAAATTTAAGTATGTTACAATTAGGCTAAAGTTCTTTGTTAAGAAAATTCATTTTTAAGACATTGATATAAAAATTACATGAATGATCAAATTTGAAATATATTTTTGATCAATGAAAATATTATAATTAATTTTATGTCCTAATCTACTAAATAACTTATGAAACAATAGAACAAATAGAAGAATCATTTCAGTATTTGAAATAAGTTTTTTGAAATTTAAGTTTGAATTCTTAAGCTAGACAAAATCATGGAGAACATAATAGTAATAAATTAATTCTATATTTGTCTTTTCATGAAATCTTATTAGAAAGTTTGTCTTAAAATAAGTTTTGATTTCTACAACAGAGAGTATATTTCAAGAGGGAAAGCTTTTTGTTTAAAAATTATATAGATGTATGTATAAGGTGGTATTTTCCCTAATCAGATTAAACTAGAATTCAACTTTATTATATTTCTGAAATTTATAAAGGTATTTTGATTACTGTATTGTTTTTTTTATTTTTGACAAATTTTCTAAAAGTATTATCAAGAACATTAAACAGATCTGTTCTTTTTTTGAAATTCAATAAAAACAAAGTAATTATAATAGAAACCCTTAAATAATCTTACATAAAACTACATATAGCAACTAAAATAAGGAATGGAAAATTTAACATAATTACAATGACTTATTTTATCAAACATATATCAAAAAGATTAGGGTAAGTAGAGTAAAATAATCATTTTTTATGTAATGAAATTTATGTTCAGTACCATAAAGTATTAGCTATTTTTAAAAATACAATTAATGTCATTAAAAGCAGTGATATTTCCATTGATTGAAAATGTTTACTAAAATATACCTAATAACAGCTTATTATGCAGGAAATTGTGTTCGATCATTCTGCAGATTAATTTATAACACTGTAAAGTTGTATTTAGTGTGTTGAATGTAACAAAGTACTATATTGTAATGTAACAAAAAATAAAGCCATATTGATATGACTTATTTTTGCTACATTATTGTTCAATATATCATACAAAATAAAAAGTAAAAACAGTTTACTGTTGATATTCTACTTTTATTATGAACACACTATACAGCAATTACTAATTTGTTAGTCTTAAAACAATTTTTTTAAAAGACTTGTCTATTTCCTTTAAATCACCAAAAAAGTATCAGTTGGAAATTGTATATATTAACAGTTTGAGCTTTACTTTGAGATATTTTGTTTAATAATTAATCTTATGACTTATTGCAATATATCAGTTTATGCATTAAACAAGTATTTTATTGTACATATAGCATAGGAATTATTAAATGAGCTGTTAATTTAAACTATTTGAGGATATAATCTATTAAAAACTTTTTCAATCTGTTGATAAAAGTTTGAAGTGTTTGACATGCTAAACATTTATTTTATATTTAAAGAACCTGCACTTCAGGAAAAAGACAAATTTTTGTTACTCAGTAAAATAATAAAAATATATAACATAATTATAGCAATTGTAATTATGTTTGATGAAGTAGAAGATAAAGTATCAGACTACACCACAAAACACTGGGATATGTTAAATACCATACTTTTTTTGTCACACTGGAATATAGGTTCTAGGAGTATATAAAGTATTAGAATAAGTAAAATCAAAAGTTTTGTTTTTACATTTGCTAACATTTATGTTAAGTGTAATCTGGCATTATTAATTTGCTTATCTATACTACTATATAAAGAGAGAACGTATTTTTCGTTTGTGACCACTAACCGTGAAAACTACTGAACCAATCGTTACCAAATTTTACCTGTAGCATCTTTATGATCCCCAGAATGTTTACCACTAATCAAACCTACAGATTTTTTATTAATTAAATAAAACTGCACTGGATTTTTGTCTGTATTTCTCTCTCTTCACTAGATGGCGACACACAAATTAATACTTTCTGTCTATAAGAAAAGTCTATTATTGAAGTTTGCTATTCTATTTGAAGAACTGACATTAAATTTTAATTAGTTAATTAGCAAAATCTTCGAGGAATTAAAAAAGTAATGTCATCACGCTAGGTGGCAGTACGTGTACTTATGGTGGGTTTTCAAATTGTTACGCATTAATTTCTGCAGGTAATTGTACAAAATATTCAAAATAGTTATTGAATTTAGCTCAAATGATTATTTTTGAGATTGATTGATAAATAATGCCAAGAGCTGCGAGGCAGGATAGTAATAATCTTATTCGGAGTTTCAAAATTACAACGGGTTTTCACATACAAAGTGGATTATCCACAAATAATTAATGAACAATTAGTTCAAATTTTCAAGGTTCTATATGTACATAAGAGCAGGTGAGGCTGTGACAGGGAATGCTAGTATAATAATAATTTAAAGCCTTTTTTAAAAGAGGGATTATTTTAAAGGTTGTGATATTTCCCTAACCATTTTCAATTATTAAAGAAAATGTTTAATAATTTTAAAGATAATGCCATTAAACAGCTGTATGTCATGGTAACAAATCAGTTTTCTAAATGTGAGATAAACAGAGAAAAACATACATTCAAGGTAGAAACTTATATAGTTTTCTCTTTGAAGTATTTTCAACATTACAAAGTTTGTGCAAGAATGGAGATTTAAAATATCTGAATATTTTTCATTCAAAATTACTTTTACACTTGAACTTCACATTCACATTTACGGTTTGAAAATTACAAAAATTGGAATAAAATAAAAATGAAATACAGAGAATACAGAAATTATTGTAATTATTTTTAATAATGTATGGAATTAAAGTGCTAAAAACGAGTTACTTAAATTTTGGGTTACAAATGTTTGAAGAAAAAAATGTATTTCTGTTCAAAATGTTGGTTTTAATCTATTTATCTCAACCCAGAAAACTGATTTCTGTTACCAAACATTAACTTAACACCTGATCACTCGCTGAGAGATTTATTCTTACAACAAACGTTTTCAATCCAATCAATGGATCATCGTCAGGTAAATTAGAACATTCCAAAAAATAGAACAACCAGTTCAAAATACAAAAATATAAATATTAATAACGGATAACCAATATGTTACTAACAGCAGAATAACGTTTTTAAATAATACAAAAATTAATACAAATGCTGCTAAAACTAAAATAAAAATAAAATATTCAAATGTAACAAACAAAATTGTGTATACAAAATATTAATACTTCTAACTTAATAGACAAATTGATAATACTAAATACTAATATTGCTTAATAAATTGTACAGAGTTTCTCAACTATACAGAGTTTTTACTGTACATATTATTAAAGCCCCTGTTCTTATTTGAAGTTTTTAACTGCAAACTTCCATGCGGAAGGAAGTCCCTCGGCATCCCTTGCATTGATGCAATTCCCTTTAAGTTTGCTTTTATAAATTTCTAATTTTTCGGCCGTTCTCGCCAAGGTCGGGGAGTGTATTTGTTTCAGTATATCTGCTTCATTCCATCTTACTATTGAACCCTCCGTTTGTGCCATTTGAGACAGTACTGTGGCATTAGAGCCTTTTCTAACATTATATCTATGCTCTTTTATCCTTGCCCCTAGTTTCTAGTGGTAACCCCAACATACTCTTTATTTATTCCTAACATCTGATTCTCGTATGGGATCTTATATACACCCGACCTATCTTCTTTTTTAACTATCCCTTTATCATTTCTAAGTAATCTGTACAAATTCGGAGCTCTTTTTAAAACTATCCTTGTATCTTTTTTATTTGTGATTTCTTTCATAATGCTTCCTAAGCGCTTGTTGTACGTAAATTTCGTGTATGTAGATGGACCACGACTAGGTACTACTTCTGTACTAACTTCTAATTTATTGATAATCCCCTTTATAGCATTCCTCTTGTAGCCCAATGCTTCTGCTACCTGCATAATTATTTCTATTTCTGCATCCCTGTCTATTATACTTTCGCAGTATAAAAAAAAGCCCTCCTAACCAACGCTCTAAATGTCGCTAATTTATATTTATAAGGATCATTGGAGCTAGCAGGTATATAAAGTGGGCTATGCGTTGGTTTAATAAATACCCCGGTAGATATACGTCCCTCTCTAAACATAACATTAATGTCCAAAAAATGTACCATAACAGAGCTTTTTTGTTCTAGTTTTAAGCTAAGGCCATCCTCATTGTCATTAATCATATCTATAAAGTTAGCTATTACTCGATTGCTTTTCCAAATTAAGAATATATCATCAACATACCTTTTGTAGTATACAATATTGTTTATGAAATTATGCAAAACTTTAACCTCAAGTCTACTAACAACAAGCTCACATAATAGCCCTGAAATTGGGCTTCCCATAGGGACCCCTCTGCATTGCTTATACGTTTGACCTTCGAATGCAAAGAAGGATTCGCAGCAAATGAGGTTAACCATCTCTAACAACTCATTTCTATGATGTGCTAATGTAGGGTTTACTCTAATCAAGAAATCCAAAACAGTCCCAACTTCGTCATCCACTAAGGTAACCTCTTGTAGTTCTT